CCGGGCGGGGAGGCGCAGAAAGGCTGGCCGCGGGCAGGGGACGAGCCCCGCCTGGTCCGGCTCCCGCTCCCGGGCCACGCACAGCTCCGCTTTAAAGCACCTCCTGCTCCCTCTGGAAGGGTCTGCTGCCCCGCCAACCTCGCTCCTCGCAGCCACTAAGATCTTCGGCAAAGTATATATATTTTTTTCCTAGATAAAGAGATAGGGAAGGTTCTTATTGGATCCCACAAGGACTTTGGATAAGACTGAGAAGACGTCAAGGCATCAACAACGCCCTTCTCCCTGATCGGAGACCCTGGATGAGTTGTCAGCACTGTAGGGAGAAACGTGACCTCCCATCTGTGTTGCTCATGGGATCATTTGCCTGATTAGTTTGCAAAGGAAAGTGCACAGCAGGAAAAGACAAGGGGGGAAAATAAATCATAATAAGTAATACAATACCAAGTCTTCAGAGCTCAATGAAATGTGAGTGAAAAGTGCAGCAACTTTGATCATGTCTTGCAAATGTCAACTGTGCTAGAGCCTTTTGGCATGGTCAAAGGGCTTCACTGACTTGGGCACTGCCCAGAAGTTCTCGTCTATTCTTTACACATTAAATATAATCAAAGCCTTTCTTTGAATACTTTTTTATTTGTCCTTTGTGCAGTATTACAGTTCCTGGGACCCAAAAGTTTCCTTGAATCAAGGCTGCAGTTCTAGTTGTACTAGAAGCAGGAACAGGCTGCTTATATGATTCATTCTTGTAGTTTAAGTTTTTCATTTCATCCAATGATCTGATAGACCAAATTAGAGTAGAAATACTCTAATGGATGGAAAACTGGTTTCGTGAGTGTTGCAAATTAAGGTACAAATATGATATGTTAAAGCTACTACATGTTCTTTTTACTTTCATTAGGATAAAAAATTGTAGTTTTTTAAAAGGTTTAATGATAGCTGTACTCTAGACAATTTAATAATTGTCACAGTTTTCTCTGCAATGAATAATCCCAGTGCCTTCAATTGGACCAGTTAAAGTACTAAACCTTTTGCTTAGGAGCAGGTTTATACCTGGTAAATATCTAAGACTTTTAATTAATTGTTGCTGAGGCTTTGTGAAGTGCTGAAATCAGAAAGGTAATATCCTTCAGAGTAATTTGCGAAAGTTTGGAAATCCGGCAATCATGAATCTAATCCTGCATAGCCCTGGCTTGCTATATGGCCTTGCTCTTTGTCTTGGTGAATTCAAGAGAGGGGGGCTACGGGGGAGGCTGCAGCTACCCCAAAATTTGTGGTAGCCTCCCTTTTCCCCCTCCCAACACTGCCACCACCTGCCCTGAGTGCAGCACAGCCCAACCCCCCTCAGGGAAGTGCCCAGTGCAGCCCCCCCAGCCCCAGCCTACAGCAGCAGCCCACCCTCACCCCGTGTGCATATCTGGGGCACATGCCCCCATGCCCTCCCCGGGTGTGTGCAACAGTGGGAGCTACCACCCCCTTCCCATTCCAGGTGCCCCCCAGACAAGCCACTCATGGCTCCATCCCACGCCCTGCCCTGGCTATGCATGGCCAGCCCCAGCCCTAGCCCCACTCCCTCCCTCCCTCACTGCCGTTGGGAGCCGGGGAGGGGGGGAAATCAAGGCCCCAGCAATGAGGGAGGGAGCAGAGCACAGGCAGGAGCAGGGGTTGGAGTGAGTGAGGCCCCAGCTGAACTGGGTGGTGGGACAAGCACAGGCCTGGGAGCACATGCCCCCTGATCTGTGCATGGGGCAGAGGCCGTTGCCACTGTGCACTTTGCTGTGCTCCCTGCTGCCGCTGCACCGTGCCTCCTGCCTGCCTGGTGGTGGGACACACGTGGTGTCTCACGGCTCTTGGGGCAGCAGGGTTTAAAGTGCAGCATGCAGCGGCAGCCACTGCTGCCCTGCACACAGATTGGTGGGGCATGTGCCCCCTGGGCTTCCACTTGTCCCACAACCTGGCCCAGCTGGGGACATGCCCCGCTCCCTCCCTCACCACTGGGGCCTCGATCTGTGCCTCTCCTCCCATGGCCCTTTCCCCTCCCCTTGACCCTTCCACCACAGACTTATCTGCTGGGGCACACTCAGCTCCCCCAAATCATTTTTCTCCCTCTGCCTATGCCCTCCTTCTTCCCCCATGGTCCCTGCTGCCAGCCCCAGGAGTGTAGGAGTGCAGTAGATAGGCCAGGCTGAAAAATGGCTCCATCTGTGCATCTGCCCACCCTCTTGCAGCAAAGTGTACTACTAGGAGAATGGCGGGGGGTGGGGGGATCAGCACAGGGATGGGAAAGGCATCAGCAGAGCGGGTAGTCCCCAGAGGAGCAAGTACAGGGTGCTGGACAGAGGAGAGAAGCATTTACCTCCTCACACTGGGATCATGTATGTAACAGGGAACCCTAGCCCTGTTACCAGAAAGAAGGTCAGCCCCTTTAAGACCAGAACTTTCCAGGCACAGCCTGCTGGCAGAGTAGGGGTTAAAAACTGAGCCTTGCTGGTTAGTCAGGTGACCAGAAGGGGACAGGCCAGAACTATAAAAACCCTGTGGGCTAAAGGGGTCTTTGGCTGCAGAGGGGGTGGGCTTGTGATGACTCAGAGAGAAATTGTGGCAGTCCCAGAAGAAGGAGCACAGCAGATGGTGGGAAGCAGAAACACCAAGCCATGGAAATTGTGAGCTAGCAGACTGCCTTCCATAACTTTATTTTGGTTATAGCCCATGGGCTTACTGTTTGTGTTTGATTGGTGAGGCAGTGGTTTGTGGTTGAGGCTGTCAGGGAAGAGGAAGCCTCATTAGTGCCTTGGGGCACAGTCATAAAAGGCCAAAGGGCCCAATGCGCTAGTGGGTGCAGCTGTACAGGGCCAGGGGCTCAGAGCTGGTTTCAGGAAAATAGGACTTTGGAGCTGGCTCCTAGTGGGTAGATATAGGCTAGTAGCCTGAGCTATAAGAAAAGGACCAAGCCTGAGGAGGCAGAAGACCTACAACTTGGTGTCCAGGGGTGCAGTGTGAAAGGGGGGGTCAGAAGGCCTGGTGCCGAATTGAGCACAAAAGGAGGGCCACGGGCCCAGAGAGTATTAAGGGGCTAGAGCCTCAGAGTCTAACCCTACCCCGTGGATTTAGCCTGGTCGGCCTAGCTAGAAAAAGACGGGGATGAGAAGCCCGTGGTGGCTGAGAACCCCAGCATAGAAGTACAAACATCTGCGAGGCTTAGAGCAGGTACAGGGGTGGTCAGAGTGTGCAAGGACAGCCCAAATCATTGGGCGTACAATCAGTAGTCTCCCACTTGTAAGAATAATTACATAATATTTACTTCAAGATGTGGCAAATGAGTGAAGGTGGGATACAGGACAAAACACAGGAGTGAAGAATTAAAGGACTTCAAAGGTGCCCCTCACAGGCAGCTAGAAAGCTGCTAGGGATGGCAACGTGTTAACAGTGTAGCATCACTTTTGTGGTACAGTAGTGTGCTGTGGTTAGTTAAATATGTTCAAATGCAGTGAGTTTCAGTATTGACGATTACTGAAGTGACAGCTTTACTAGTATTTATCATTGTTCACTGCTATATCAATAAAGCAGGTTCTGCTGCATTATCAACAAACTAGCAATGCTCAGTTAAATAAACAGTTTTAAAGGGCTCATTATTTCTCTCTTAGCAATGTTTCAATTAGTGAAACCACCACTAGCCCATTCCATTTTCACTATCACTGGGACATATCTTGTCTTTTCTTTAATTAGAGTAGAAATGAAGTAGCTGCTAGGTATTTTTTTTTACACTGATAGCTGCACCTAAATCTATGAAACTGGCTGTCAAAAATAAAGCTTATGTGATATTATTTCATTCATATTTTTACTTCTGTAGGGGGGGAAAAAGTGCTACTTACAAGACAGCAGCCATGAATAGGAATGCACGTCTGTCATTCTTAGCTGCTGGACCTACGGTCATAAATCCAGTGCCAACACTAATGATAATTAGTTGGCAAGATTAAAGAACCAGGAAGAATAAATGTAGAGAGAAAATGTTTGAAAAGTAAAGACATCTTAAAATATTTCTGTGTTCTGCCCCTTGATGCACATAAAGATTTCTAGTAGGGCAAACTGGTAAAGAAGTTTGGAAAATACAATAGGAAATGTTCTTTCCAAGCTACCCTTGTATATTATATTTTGTTTCATCCAGTTGCAACAGCAACTCTGGTGCCAACACCATGGCACCCTTGGTAGGGTTTTGTGGCTAGAGAACCATGCATTCAAACTTTCAGAAAATTAGTCCCTACCACAGAAAGACTTTTTCCCCCTAAAAGAGGTGCATCATTAATACTTTTTCAAAGAATGAAATGGCTGAAACATTATGTACAGTCTAATGAAAAATCTCCTGTGAAGTGTTTACACTGTCTTCTTTAAAACAAGCAAACAGTATAAATCAAACCAGGACCGTTATTTTAAATAACC